ACAGCTCAAATTAAAACCTGACTTTCATGAGGTGTTATTCTGCAAATCAGTCCTTAGCTGAAACTGAGCTCAGTGGGATTTATGTGAACTTGAAAATTAATAAATTGGCATATTAGTTGTAAAATATGAGGAATAATTTCCTGTCTTTGCCAGATGATCCATTTGGATTAGTGCCTGTAAAAGTTCAGCTACAGCTGTCTTAACTGAATTTGTAAATAATGAAACCATAACCCTTCTCCCAAGGAGTTTATTAAACTGTCCTTTGATTAATGCTCTTACCCACCCCTCCTGGGAAGTCAAACGTATAATCAATATTATAAGCACATCCCCCCATATTACTTGGAGAACTCCAGCTGCTAGTTCACTTAATACAAATGTATCATCTAAATTCATGAACATGGTAATGCTGTACAAAATTTTTAATCTAACAGGAACTGAATTCTATCAGTCAGCCTGTCCACTTCATATCCCAAGATTGGAGTGAAGGAGTCAGCCATGGCCTAATTAATATCATCATAAGTGAAAAAAAAAAAAGAAATCTTCAAAAATCTTTGAATCTATTAGACAAAATGCTAGTGTAACCTCAAATAAATCCCTGAATTTTCATCAAATTACCCAAGCATAACAGATAGAAGTGAGCATGGCAAGAAGCATCCTGTGATTTACAGATCAGGATAGTTTTAGAGATGCCTGAATATGACAAGATCTATGAGGAGCAGTGTAGCTGTTGTTCAAAATTACCAAAAATTCCATGAAATAGGAATAAAAGGAGTTGATAGTATGCCTGTGGCAGGATTAAACAGGAGATGATGGGGGTTTAGGTGGTTTCTGGCAAGACTTAGAGAGGCCAGCTGGGGATTCCAACATAAATATTCTTGAGAGAAGTTAGGCATGGTGGGGCAAGGAGAAGAGAAAGCAGTAGGAAGAAGCACCAGGGTGGTAAACACAGATGTGTGCACAGAAGCAGAACAGTGTGGTGGTCAGGGCCTGACTGCTCTATTCAAATCTTCTCTCCACCCTCTAGCAGCTGTGCAACTTTGGGCAAGTTGGTTAACCTCTCTGCCCCTAGATTTCCTCATCTGAAAAATGGTGACAATGATAGTAGGGTTGTTGGGAGGATTAATTGATACATTATAAAGAATTTTAAATAAGGCTTGGCATATATCAAATCTTCAGTAAATGGCAGTTACTATTATTATCTTTGGTTATCCCCCCCTCATCTATTTTCTTGGTTATTTTTGTTCATTTATTTTTAATCTTATTCCATTCATTCATCTGTCAGTTATTTGGAAACAATTGTGCAGTAAGAGAATTGACTATATATTCTTCTTGTAAAATCTCTTCTGCACCCCAAAGCTGACCCTAAGAGGTAAAGAATGAGCCAGCTGCTTCCTTGGTGCCATTTAAAAACAACAGAAGAGAGAGCACTTGAGACCTGAGTTCTACTTGGGGCTCTTTAAGAGCCAGAAGCAGAGTTCAGATAAATCAACCTGTTTCTATGTCACTTTTTTCATCTGCAAAATAAGGGCATGTTTAAGTTTTCAAACAGTACCTCTTATATACAATGATATTCGTAAGTCCTTTTTTCTTTATGCAGGTAATGTAGCCTGTGTAAACTTATCACAGAGACACAAATCTTCATTGAGTCTACAATCACTAAGATGGAGCAATGAGAACTGTGTGTGTGTGGCATCTAAACAATTTCACGATAGGGAGCATCCATCAAATTAACAATAAATTTCATATTTTTAAGCTTTAGAAGTAAGAGAATAATAAATATTTACAGTGAAAGAGCACTGGATTTATTATTTTGCTCCTGATGACACTTTGCCTTCTGAATCATGTTATGTGATTTTACAGTATTTTAGATTAAAAAAAAATTTTTTAAGCAAAAAAAAAAAAAAAAAATGAGGGCATGGATTTAAAACATAGGTTCGTAACTCAAAAGCCTATAGACATCAGGTAAGAAATATAAATAAGTGAAGTAGTCCCAGAAGTGAGACAATAAAGACTCGTAGAGAATCTGCCAAACTAAAAAGAATATGCCCTGACTAATGGGAACAACTGCTAATTCTCATCTACCAGCACCCAAGGATTCAGACTTGGTATCCCCCTTTTTTTCCCAAATAAGCCATAAATTCTTATTTTTAGATGGAATGTTGGAATTAATTAATTTAATAGATTATTTGGGCAAACAAAATATGGCTGAAGACCCACTGGCCATCCATGTGTGACCTTTGATCCAAGTGACTTTCTAAAATTCTTTCTAGTTGTGACTTTCCATCATTCAACTGCAATGGGATGCCCAAACAGGACAGCTAGTTCCAATTCAAAGCAGACATTCTATGATCTAGTCAGTTACTCTTGCCTGTAGACAAACTTTTTGATACACATGAAAATATTCACTGGCTAATAAACCATACAAATTGAAACTTTTGGAAGTAAACTGAATGAGGTCACTTTTTTACATGCTTAAATTTCTAATGCAGGTCAGCATGGGTCTACTTCTGATACTATTTACATCCAGAAGGTGAAAAAAATAAAAAAATGACTCTTCAATTCTTGTTTCATTTACCCTCATTCATTTGATGCAACTATAATATTTATCCCCCGAGTGTGCAACTGTGAAATGTCCTCTTGTGTCTGACCTGGATTTAAAAAGCTTAGAGGTTTTAAATAGAAATTAGGGTGCTGGTTTGGGAAATAATTTCTGAATATTTTTCTTTATTTTTTACTTTTTCAAAACTTTCATCATTCTATTTAAAAAGTACTTAAACTTGTGTAGTGCTACAGAAAGCTGAGAGAGAAATTTCTTTCTCTAGTGGTAAAAAGAGATCGAAAGGCTGCCATCCAACCACATATTTTGTGCTTCTGAAATTGTTTATCCCCCTGCAATCTCCTTTGACAAAGATGTAATTGCCTCAATAATAAAAAAAAAGTTGAAAGAAGGCATTTGTCACACAAATCTCTGCAATGCATTCACTTAAAAGATAAGCAAAACTTCTTCCAAATAACAAATGATATTCAAAGGGTGGCTTTCTTTGAAATAAATCATATCCTAAATCCTGGAGATCAGATTATACACACTTAAGAACATGAGCATTTCTTTTCATTTACTTGCAAAATAAAGAATTTTAACTCCTGTTAAATAGTAATGAAAAAAATTTTTGTTGCAGGTCTGCTGAACAGAATTCTAGAATGAAATAAAAGTAGAAGCTTTTCACAGAGTTTTGTTTGTTTTTTTTTAATCTGGTAGATGCACAAATAATAGGCAGTTGGAAAGTGGGATGAAGGAAACCATTGAGCAAAAGAAAATAAAAGATATTCAAAGGGCAGAATGAGAAATGACATTTTATACCATGGCAGAAACTAATGTCAGCTTCTGTGTAAAGATTAATGTGAATTTACCAAAGCACTTTGAAGTAACTCAAATATAGTATATAATTTTAATTAAAGCTTTACCAAAAGAAAAATCATTGCTCAGTGCAAACATGCACCTTTGAAAAAGTCTTCTGTGTGCTTTTTTACAGTAACAAGCGTAGATGTTTTTGACTTATGTTTTTCAATTAATAATATATAAGGCCTCTCCACATAGATATGTGGCCACTTTCCTTCCATTAGAAAAGGAAAAATCTCAGCAAATGGTTACATTGAGTTGTCCAAAAAGTTCATTTGGGTTTTTCCATAACATCTTACGGGAAACCCAAACAAAATTTTTGACCAACTCAATAATTCCCTTTATATGACTAAGACTTAAAAATTTTATTTAGAACTCTGCCTTTGCAGTAAGGTTCCCTGAATCTAAAAACAAAAAAATGTGTGTGTGTATGTGTGTGTGTGTGTGTGTATATATGTGTATATATATATATATATATTTGTCAACAGTTTCATCTGAAGTCTTACCAGTGATATGGCATTAGACTCAAAAAGCCTCTACAATTTTTATGGGGTAGGAGTTTTTGAAATCGATTTTGTATAGACTAGTTGAACTAACTTATGGCATTTATTCCACCATTTCATTTAACCTGTGTTTGTGACACAGTATTTATGATTCAGCAATGTCAAAGCTGAAAATATTTTGTTCCTCACATAGATTACAACCTCAAATAAAGTGCACCTCTTGATGGATACCAGTCAGACATGGTATATTTGAAAAAAAACAAAAAAGTAATAAGAAAGGTCACTGAGCATAAGAATGAATGAAAAGGTGGTTTTGAGCAACAGCACCGAGACCTTCAGGGACTTTCCTTTTTGGTCTATATCTGTCTTAAAAGTCAATGCATGCCTTTCAAATATCATGATTCATAACACATTCCTTACACAATCATGGAAATGTAACTTTGTGGTTGGAACAACAAAAGAAATCTAATGAAATTTAGATTCTGTTTGTGTCTTCACAGGGTAAAACAATAAAATAAAAAGTGATATTTTGTGAATGAATGTTTTAAGTGCCAAGCACTGTGCTAAATAATTTATATGTATTATTTCAATTAAAATTAACCTTAAAAGTTTATGAGCTAAGTATTCTCAATATGCCCAAATGACAGAAGATAGAACTGGAGCTCAGGAAGAGGTAAAGCAACTTGTCTGAAGGTAAGTAATTTTTTGGAAGACAAAAATCAACAACAACAGCAACAAAAAAATCCAAGCCTGACTCTTAGTCCATTCTTTTGATCATTATGGTAGACTGGCAGACAATTTTAAGTCAGACAATTTAACTTCTCCAGAAGTGTCCTTGTTAATCCAAGGATAAAGATCTTCTTTACTTGTCTTGCTAGATTTGTTACTTGTCATTGGTAAGGTACTGATGAGACTTGGACACAGTGTAGAAATCCAAAAAGAACATCTTTTTTTTCTTGCTGTGCTTTTCATAATCATCACAGCACTTCATTTCAAAAATCAGATAGAAGGAAGTAACACCTGAAATATTCAGGTGCAGTGCTTTGGTATGCATAACTTGTTACCATCGTGGTTTATTATTTCCATTTTCCTTCATACAGAACCCACTGCTGCTCCCACAGATGTCAAGGCTACAAGTGTGTCTGTGTCAGAGATTCTTGTTGCATGGAAACATATTAAAGAGAGTCTAGGAAGACCACAGGGATTTGAGGTATGAACAGAATTACTGAAAATAAGCCTTGTTATTTCTACCGGCACTGTACTCTCTTGAAGAAATTGTTTGGTGACACTTCAACAGAATTACATTTCTTTGAAATTCGCTCTATGGAAAAGAAATGAGAAATATACTATTCTACTGACATGTATTATGTTGCTCATTAGCTAGCTTATTTTTCAATGTAGCAGTTTCCATAGCACTGGGCAAAGATTAAAAAAAAAAAAAAGAAAAGAAAATAGACCTTTAGATAAAAAACCAGGAGCTACAGGTTGATATTTACTGTTATCCAATTTATTGATGGTTAAAAATACTTTTTGTGTATTTCTCTCTAATAATTTAATGTATAAAACAAGTTTTCCTATCATGTTGTTCGTGGCAGATCTTACCTCCTATACTAACTTGTCAGATTTGCTTGGAACTTAGTGATCTGTACCTATTCACTCAAATGACTTTTTGTCCTTCAAATTTTACTGTTTTTAAACATAGTTATCATAGTTATGCCAGCCTTATAGTGGTGAATATTTTATAACAATTCATTGACTTCAATAAAATTTTATCCTCCACATGGACTAAAGGATTGTGGGCAGTCTGTAAACTTGAGTATTCCACAAAAACAAGAGCTCTCATACAGCTCTTGTTCTTTCCTTTGCCAGTGAGGGATAGGATTAGGGGAGTAATTTATAAAATACAAAAAAGAATTAGCATCCAGCTGAGGATCTTTGTTGTCTTTAAACTTTTTAATGTTTACTTTTCCTCTGTTTCAACTGCCACTAAGAGAAAATCATCTTGATTTTTAAATAATGACCTCATATAGGACTTGTATACCAACATGGTTTCCAGGCTAAAAACACATTTCTTTATTATATTTGAGTTTTCAAATAATGGCTGAGAACTATTTAATTAATATACAGCCAGCATTAAAGATTACAGTGATTAACAGTTTATGCAATATTTCTAAGAGTTACAGCAAAGATCATTTATATGAAACCATTACCTATACAATATCATGGATTTATTTCTACAATCTTGCTTCAGTTCATTATTTGGTGATAATTCAATATGTATCATATCAGGTCATTGCATGCTTGTTTTATTAAAATCTCTTTTTCTCCCTAGCCATGCTGCAGGGACCATGTCTGTTCACCAGTGAATCCCAGGACTGGTAGTACTTGGCTCAGGACAGCTACAATAAATATTTGTTGAACAAATGAATATCTGTGCTTCACAAACAGCCCCTTTTGTTCCCACTGTAGAAGACATTGGGGTGGCCTGCCCTGCTCCCCTTCACTGGGCCAGGGCACCATCCCCTAGCTGCTGTGAGTGTTGGCTATGAATGGTTTTCAGCTTCCCCTCTGGAGAACTGCCCTCCACTTAGGGGTGATGCCTTACCTGAAAAAGTACCAACCCCACAATCAAGCAACCCAAGGTCAATGACTGGCTGATACTGACTGATACTGGTCCCTTGCTTCAAGGAGGAAACAACTTTATGGTGCAGTTTATGATTCAGAGCCTTAGTCGTGTACATCAGGCCAAGGCTAGATCAACTGGGACCACACTCTTGCTCAGTTCCTTCTACTTCCCATCCTCCTTCCCTCCCTTCCTTATAGATTCGCCTGCAAGCACTCTCACAGTAAATCACATCATTCTAATCCCTGTCTCAAGCTCTGCTTCTATGTAACTCAACCTAGAACAATTACATGAGTATAGGTCCACCTAGACCTCTGAATCAGAACATCTGGTGTGCATACTTTCAGTAAGCCATAAAGTGTATTCTGCTGTTCAGAAGAGTGAGGATCCAGGCTTCTACATCTCAAAGTGGTGCTCCTGTCACACAGCCAGTCACCCTCAACAATTTTTCTGCCTGTCCTAATAGCATGACATTCATATTCCCACTGTAATTCACCTGTAATAACAGTTTTCTATGAGGTCCTACAGAGATCACATAAGATTTAAGCTTGTGAACAACGGTTCTATTTCTATATATAAATCATCATTCATTCATTCTTTCAACAAATATTTATTGGACGCCTACTAATTAGTAGATACTGAGCTAGATGCTAGGGATAAAACAATAAGCAAATTAAAGTCCCTGTCCTCATGAAGCTTATATTGTAATAGGGAAGGCAAACAATAAACAAGCTAACAAATAAATGTGTGATATAATTTCAGTTGATGATGAATGTTTTGCAGAAAAATAATACTGCGCAAGAAGGTAGAGTGAGAGTCTGCTGTTTATAGGGGTTTGAGGAATTAACCTTTCTGAGGTTCTGACATTTGACATGATCAAATGAGAGAAAGAAAGAGAGAGAGAGAGAGAGAGAGGCAGAGAGAACAGAAAACTCAAAGGCCCTGTCTTAAGAGCATGCTGGCCTTGTTCAAAGAACAGGAGTGATTTTGGCTAGATAACAGTGAACAACAGGAAGAGTGATAGCAGGAAAAATCGCTGGGACAAGAACCAGGTTATATGCAGTCTTGTGAACCAGGAAAAGGAGTTTAGATTTTATCTTCAGTATAAGGAAAAGCCATTAACGATTACCAACAGAGAGTCTAATCAGGCTTTGACTCATATTTTAAAAGCATCTCTTGGTTTAGAGGGTGAAGAACAGACTCTAGAGAGGACCTCAGGTAGAGCAGTGGAGAAGCAGTCCTTCCAACCTAGCAGACAATGAAGTTGCTTTCGACTAGAACAGTAGATGTGGAATTGATGAGAAGTGGACCTTTTAAGATATATTTTGAGTGGAAGTTTGGCTGGATTTGCTTATGAATTGGATGTGGACTATGTCAAAGTTAATTCCAGAGCTTTTTGACCCAAGAAGCTGGGAGAATGACAAATCATTCACATACATAAGGAACTGATGGAGAAGAGCATATTTTAGAGAAAAAGATCAAAGATTCTGGTTTAATGTGTTAAATTTTATAAGCCTTTTATTTTATTTTATTTTTTTACAAAAAGAGCTATCAAGTAAGTCTTATTTTAAGAGAAAGGTTAGAGACAGAGCTATAACTCTGAGGAATCTTCAGTATATAAATGGTTTTTACACATGTGCTGGCTGAGATCACCAAATGTTGATAAAGATGTCTGAGAATTGAGCCCTATGGTGCCTCATCATTTGGAATTCAAGAAAGAAGACATGGCCAAAGAAACTATAGAAGACATTGAAGAAGTTCAGAAGCCAAGAGAAGAATTTTAAAATGGAGTGTCAAATGCTGAGTCAAATGCTGCTAAGAAATTCAGAAAGATGAGGCCTGAGGCTTCAGAAAGATGAGGGCTGAGATTGCCCAAGGGGTGTGCCATGCAAAGACCTTACTGACCATGGTGAGAAGGGTTTTATAAAATGCTGGTGATCAAGGTTTTACTAGAGATCAAGACCAAGATCACTCAAGTATGGCACTCAAGATTGTCAGAGCACAAAGCTTTCTCTAAATCTATTTTATTCAAAACAACAATTTATCACAAGCAAAAATGGAATATCTTTGAGGATATGTTAATAGCATTTAATCAAATTCTGGAGCAATCATTACATTGACTGAATTTTATTTAAAGTAAGTCAACACAAATTCTGACAACTATTTTTACACAAAGAAACAACACAGCTTCCATGGGCACAGTAACATTTATAGTATTTTATAGTGCATTATAAATTGTATTTTTAAAAAGATGGCATCTTGTTACCAAAAAAAAAGAAAACAATATCTTGTTAATGGGAAAATCAAATGTATGCTTTTCATTATCAGAAAATAATTAAAACTTTATATAATTCAATGACCAAATATGACATAACAGTTATTTTAAGTAAAATATAGTCATCAAAGACTCTTTATAAGATATACTGTCTCATAAGTGTATAGATGCATGTAGATTTTAAAAATAAATGTGAAATTTTGTCATTTGTAGAGATGTGAATGGACCTAGAGACGTCATACAGATATGACATAACAGTTATTTTAAGTAAAATATAGTCATCAAAGACTCTTTATAAGATATACTGTCTCATAAGTGTATAGATGCATGTAGATTTTAAAAATAAATGTGAAATTTTGTCATTTGTAGAGATGTGAATGGACCTAGAGACTGTCATACAGAGTGAAGTAAGTCAGAAAGAGAAAAACAAATATCGTATATTAACGCATATATGTGGAACCTAGGAAAATGGTACAGGTGAACCGGTTTGCAAGGCAGAAATAGAGACACAGATATAGAGAACAAATGTATGGACACCAAGAGAGAAAAGCGGGGTGGGTGGTGGTGGTGGTGGTGGTGGGATGAACTGGGAGATTGGGATTGACATATATACTCTGATGTGTATAAAATAGATAACTAATAAGAACATGCTGTATAAAAAATAAAATAAAATAAAATTCAAAAATAAATAAATGTGATATAAGTAAAACTTACCAGCATCACTCCCACCCCCTCTTTTTTCTACTCTCTATCCCTTTAAGAAAAGCTCTACCTCTGCTCTTCACCTTACCCATCCCAGAATTTACTGTTCTCATTGTCTCCTCATCTTTCTTTTCAGTAAAAAGATCTCCCAAACTAAATATTTCTAAAATGTAGTAACCCCTACAGCTTAATATTTTTTCTCATCACTATCTCCCTCCTCTATTCTATCCCGGCCACAATCCTAGTTGTGTTTACTAATAATAGTATTCTGAGCATGATGACGATGAAACAAGTATTGTTTTTGTCACAAAAGCCAATGAGACTGGTTTCAAGTTTTATGTACTTATCATATCAATCCTGTGAGTCTTTTTTCTAGCCATAATTGCAGCTTTACCTGTGATGTCTAAAGTAGTTAGTTACTATAACCGCTACCAGTCCTGTGCCATTCTGAAAATAGTGGAGAATGTGTTTTTGGTCAAGTCTCCTGTTTTTCCTGAATTGAATGGGTGAATGAGATAGAAAAGGTCCTGCTCTTATGAATACTGCATCATAATGGGAGAAAATAAATAAATAAATAAATGTGAGAAAAATAAACTTAGATAACAATACA